TGGCACCTCTATTTTCTGGCACTTGGTCTGCACTCTGCCTGCACCTTCAGGGAACTCTCCAGACCGTATGTATGTATCCACGGTCTTGACGATCAAGAGAGAAAAGGGTAGGTCCCTGGGTTGGGTTAAGCTGAGCCGAGCCGAGCGTCAGTCAGTTCTCTCTGGGTGTTGTTGTTATTGCTCATCTCACGTTGCCATGGAATACCTCTCTCGAGCCCTATGCGCAGTATGAAGCAACAGCAACGCCTCGAAGCCATGCCGTCGTCCAAGCCTCTTTCCTCATCAATGTCAAACCAACCCTCACCCTTCACGCTCACTCGCGTGGGTGTCGCTGGATGTCACTGGGTTCCCGAGGTCAGGTGTAGCTTCCCCCGTGCAGCACCTAGGGAGGTACAGAGGTACTTACCTCCATTTCCACTACCTATGATTATGATCACAGCACAGTAGCACCGTCGGCGATACACTTTGGCGGCTGGAACACCTCTCGCCTGGCCGCTCGTCCCTTCTGGTTCTGCTTTGCCTTTCATAGTACGGATGCTGAAGTGTGAGGCAGTGAGGCAGGCACATTTCATCATAACGTCGTCGACGCGACAGATACCCCGGTCTTCGGACCCCATTGTCTCCCTTCTCCATCTCCATCTCCATCTCCATGCACACACTTTGCCTTCACCCCCCGAGCCTGTCACCTCTTCCTTCACCTGGCTGCCGCAGTCGCACCACTTTGAATGACTGACTCCAGCGACCCATGTAACAGCCTTTGCAGATGGAACTCTCTCCACCTACTTGCTTCCAGGCAGGTACTGCATAGTTGAGAGAGAACCTACTGCGGTAGTGTACGCAGTACAGTGCCTCCGCTGCTTTACCTCCGAATTCTTCCACCTCATCGACGCGAGGTACCAGAAGTAACTCTGCAGCTCTCACCGACGAAACGGACGAATGGGCACGATGCAGCAGTCCACAGTCCCCCCCCCCCCCCCCCCCCCCCCCATTCCATTCCATCCGCCCTTCCAGACGCACGCCAGAACGCCCTGACGCATAAAGGTGTCCGCTGCTACTGCGCTGCTACCGGCTCCCGTCTGCCTGCCGACTTTCGGATTCACGGTACGCGGCGTTTCAATACATCTCCAAGCCAAGACAAGGTACCGGTACTTTCATCACCCCAGGCACGCTACGCACACCTTTGCCCACTCGACCACTGTATCGACGGGTGGACTCAGGGACGCATCCATCCATCGATCTGTTGTCTCGCTCTCCAGCAGCCCAGTCCACCTTGATAGTCGCCGCGCTACCCTTATCGTATCTCACACTCCCGTCTTCACCAACACGCCAAACATGTGCTTCTGGGGATGTTGCACCAACAAATCCATCTCATGTGAAAACGACATCCGCTAGGCACCCGGTGGCTCCCGCTATTCATTAAAGCCATCGCGAAAAGAGGTGGCCGGTTGGAAATCGTTTCGGCAACTCAACTGCCTCATGTCAAGCCACCGCAACCTTCAACCGTCGAGTCCCATCATCCCGCTGAGCCATGGCGCAATACCTGCCTGGCCGCCCACAAATCAACCAGGCGCAAGCAAGTCCTGCCATGAGTCTCGACTGTGCCAGTGGATTCCGGAGCGCAGCACAACCGGGTCTCGTCATTGTTGATTGTCATCTCGAAACATCAACACACAGTGCCTCTGTTCTCTACAGCTACCTAGGTTTTGGTCCAAACAACACCCCTTGTCAGATCCAGTCGACATCTGGTCCAATGTTGACTAACGGCAAACGCAAGCCCGCCCCATACTTCGTAACGAACTTTGCGCATTCACATCGCCTGCAGCCCAGCACTCTCATTGACCGGTTGAGCTAGGTTGCAGCATGGCCTGGCTCGCCTTGCTGCTTGCCTCACCTCGTCTTACCTTACCTCTCAGGCTCCAAGGCTCTCAGGCCTTCCTTCAGGCTCGCATTTCTCAACAATCCCCAGAGAAAGTCAAGTCACCTTATTTTGAGGTTGCTCGTCTATCACCGGTATGCCTGGCGCCAGCTGCCCATCACTTCTCCAGCCAACCGGATCGCGGCCTCGGGCAGCATGCTCCATACATATCGCAGGGGACCGACTTTGTCCACTTTTTGCGTTTCTTCAAGTCTACGCATCGTGTCAAGTGTTAGCGCTGACCGTGGCTGTTCCGTTTACTTCCTGCTCGATGGGACGAGATAAGACGCAGAGCCTACTAAGTCCTCCTGGTCTACACTACGCGGTTCCAGTTGTCCAAACGATTAACCCTGGACACGACACCCCAGTCATACATACAATGTCACCATGATCGGGGTCTCGGGGATCGTTGGTACTGCAGCTGCCTTACTCGTCCACGCATGGCTCAAACAGCCCATGAGCCAACGGGAACGTCGCCTGTGCTTCCAAGCTCTCGCCAAACCCCAATACCGCAAAGTACCGTGCTGCACCATCAACCACGACGACGACGACGCACAAGTGCCCCAGGCCAACACACCTCCCCGTCGCCCATTGTCTAGGTGCTACTCGTGGAGCTGGCGGGTTGCTTTCCTACCACCGCCATCCCAATCATGGCGCCAGTGCATATCTGCTATGTGGACACAGGCAACCACCGCTCCAGCTCATCTGTCCGTTTCGTTTTCTCCCATCTTTCGCATGGTATTATCCACAGGTTCGCACGAACCACCATTAAGCCCAGCACATCAGCAGAACCATACCACAAGCCAAACGAGACTCTCATCTCCGTCCCCCAATCACCCGTTGATGCCCCAGGCTTCATTCTCTCAACCCGTCGAAAACCCTGTTTCGGGGCCCATGAAACCTGTTGACATCACCGACTGTGGTCTCGAATCAGCAAGCGCCCCACATGTTGATACCGTCTCACAGTGTTTCTTATTAGAGCCTGGAAGGAGGGCGAAGCTCCTCAAGAGGCCAAGGCAGAGAGACACAGAGAGAGGGACAGAGTCTTGTCGAAGTCGCGTCTGCTGTGCCTGGCAAACTGACATCGATGGCGCAACCCACTTCCAAGACACTTTTGTCTCGCCCGCTGCAGCTGCCAGCCCCCCATGCAAGTGCCTTTCGCTGCACCAAAACGGCAATCCGAACAGGGTGCCGCGTCCTCGGAGCCGTCATCCATTCTCCGTTCCATCACCAGCTCGCCTCCGTCCTGGACTGCAGCCCTTACAATTCCATTGTCTACACAGTCTTAGTTGCAATCTATCACTCATCACTTCAAGCTCAACTCTCAAGTGAGAATAGGACCTCCTGCGAAGGCCAGGAGCAAACGTTCCGACTGGTCACTCGATAGAACTAGGACTATTTTCCTGCGCCCCCGTGGCGATCTTCCCTCTCTATCCTCCCTAAACACGCAAGACGGGGACCCATCCCCGCGTGCTCCAAGAGCTGCCCACCCCCTTGGAAAGATAGAAGAGGTGGATGCCCGCATCACCCGAGGTCCTAGCGCCAAAATGACAGCCTCGCCGGCAGCGATCGACGAATCCCCCAGCTTATCGTCGTAGCCAATCATCCACCCCAATGACTGTGGGACACCTGCCTGTTCGGAGCAGCTTCAAACCCGGAGGTGAGATGACGGGGCAACCAAGCATTCACGGAACCAAGGATGGGATGCGGCTCCACGATGAAGCCTGGGGGGACGGTCAGCTGCCTTGAATCGCCACTTTCGTCCCGTCCGTCTGCAGTCCAAGGTTGGCTGCGATTAAAGGGGAGACCTGGCGTCGATGCAGGCACAGCTGGCCACGAGCACACGACAATGCTCTATTGAGCATGCTTCCTTTTTCCCCCTTTCGCCAGGGGTTCGTAGAGTCATCAGCTCCACTTACGCGATAGCATCGTCTGGGGTTCCGAGCATCTGCTGGCCTAGACGGCGTCTCGGCGGTCGAGACTGCAAGCGCCCGTCTGATCAACCTCCCGCAGTCTACGTCATCTCGTTGCTTCTGCCTACACGCATGCCCTGAAGAGGCCGTCAAGATGCTGTGCGACGATTGAAGAGGCCGTTTGTGCTTTTGGCTGATGGAAGTACTGTGCATCACAACTTGCACTTTACCCCCGGGCAGTAGGCAGACAGACGGGTGTACCTTGGCAAGTCGACCGAACTCGACTCGACTAGGTAATCGCCTAGGCATCGACAGTCCCAGTCCAGGCACTTACCTCGCGACATCGAGCAAAGGAAGACCCTAGCCCAAGGGCGCGCCGGTCGACTAGGTAGGAGATCTCGACCCCTACACCGACTCTCTCCGCACACCTGGCCACAAGAGACGGGCTGGTCCGTCAAGGTGTCCCCAAGAGCCGCAATCTCCCGTCGATACACCTCCGCCGGTCCTACTCATGAATATGCGATCACCAGTGGACATGACGTTACAATCAACCAAGCATTGAGCCGGTCGAGTTTGTAAGACTCGAGGAGCCTCATAGACTACGCTGCTTGAAGGTGATCATCGCATTGGTTACTGTGCCTTATCCAAGACGAGTTACACGAGGGATACATACACTTGACATGACCGACGATATCATGATACGTGCCATAGCCGTCACGGCTAGACCACCGTTAACACAGAGCACACAATCTTCTAGACCCTACCCCAGATCGTCCAACACCACAACTCCGACTCCGCAGCATCGCCGCCTGAAGGTCGCACCAGAAACCCAGACTCTGAGGTTCCACGAACGACGACCCAGACCTCTCAGCCATCGGCCGCTCGCTGACGGGAACCGCCTCTGGACCAACAATGCACCTCAATCAAATCAAACCATCATCTAGACCACCACCACCCCAACCTCCATCCACTTGCCTAGACCAACCCACGCCAAGTAAATCAATCAATCCCCTTCCCTTCCCCGTCTGACTCCCACAACCAACAGCGACCCCAGCCAGCATTCCGGTAAGATACATGCCATGAAAGTACACACACATGTTTGGCCTCACTCAACGGCCTCAGAGAGGGGCGAGGGTGACAATCATCCCACCCTCGACCCCACGCCGCAACCTCTACGGCCGCGCAGGCCTGAACTGGATAGCTTGTGTGAGTGAGTGAGTGTGTGCGCGCGCGCTTTGAGAAGCTCGCGACAAATAGGCTACACGATCATGGGAATTAGCACGGAAAAGACCAGGGAAACATAATAGGACAAACGTATTTCGTGGTGGTGGTGGGAGGGTAGGAATGGACAAGGAAGACATGCACCTCGACGTGTTCCCACCTACCGACACATGCACATGCAGCCTCCCGAATCCGTCCGTGTCTTTCGAGACTGTACACAGGTGCGACTCCATCGTGGCTACCCAAGAGCCTTTGGTGTAATCATCTCTTTTCATGTGTGTGTATACTCTCACTCTGAGATTCTCGCTCTGTATCTACTACTCAAAAGTGTATTCCACCATATCGGAATCTGTCGCCTTTTGTTTTTGGTCGAGCGGCACATGCATATTCTTTCTACCTTTGCAGCCCGCAAAAAAGGGGCCTCAATGCTCCGGACCGTATCGTATGCAACCGCTTCCAGTGACCATGATTCCCCAAGAAATGCTGCCTGGCGCGAGCGCGCGCGCACCGTGAAGTCTGCAATTCCTTCATCCGTGTTCCCCGCACCAAGGCAGGCGTCAGAACGCAAAGAAAGAGAAGAGCTAGCTCCCAACGCCTTTTTCCCCTCCCGTGATAGGGTTGGATGCCTAAATCAGGACAGATCAAACGAAACAACCACTCCCCCGCAGTCCCCTCAGATCTGACGGGCCACACACACACACAGCGCTCTGGTCGTGTGACAAGACACCATCTTCCCCGCGTTTGCCATCGGGGGGCGACGACTCACTCGGTCGCTCATGATGTGAAAAGTATCACCTCGCCTCATCGATCACCCTCGCACAGGGGGCTCTTTCCCTGGTCAACTCAGTGGTGGGCGGCCTTCTCAACGGTTGGAAGCTCCTTGAGCGCTTCGCCGATTACATTAAGCGCCTTGCGAAGGTCCGTCTCGGAGATGACGAGAGGCGGCGCGAAGCGAATGATGTTTCCGTGCGTGGGCTTGGCCTATTCATTCAAGTATTAGCCATCATGACCGGAAAGTGGGGGAGGGGGAGGGGGTAAAGTGACATACCAAAACGCCCTTCGCCTTCAGCAGCAAGCACAGATCCCACGCCGTCCTTCCGTTCGCGGCAGACTCGTCAATCACAACTGCGTTGAGCAAGCCCTTGCCGCGTACGGTCTGAATGATGGGCGAGTTGAAGGCCCTGATGCTGTCTCTGAAGATGTTGCCGAGCTTCTCGGCCTTGGCGGTGAGGTCCTCCTCCTCCATGATCTCGAGAGCGCGGATCGACACGGCGCAGCCGAGCGGGTTGCCGCCATATGTTGAGCCGTGCGTGCCGGGCTCCACGACGAGCATCACCTCCTTGCTGGACAGGACGCAGCTGACGGGGTAGAGGCCGCCCGAGATGGCCTTGCCGAGCGTCACCATGTCCGGCTTGATGTTCGCCCACTGCGAGCAGAGCATGCGACCCGTGCGGCCAATACCCGTCTGGATCTCGTCGCAAATGAAGAGCACGTTGTGCTTCTTGCACAGCTCCGAGACCTTGACGAGGTAGTCGTCGTCCGGCACGACCACGCCGGCCTCGCCTTGAATCGGCTCGATGATGATGGCGGCGGTGTCCTTGCCGTGCACCTCAAAGACCTCCTCAATATCGGCGACGTTGTTGTAGCGGATTGGCTTGCCGGTGGAGGGGTTCACGGCGCCAATGCCGGGAACGTAGGGGCCGTAGTTGTCTCTCGACTCGGGGTCGACTGACAGCGAGATGGCGGTCATCTGGTTTTCCAATGGTTAGCTTCGAAGTCCCGCGCAACACGCACACATCGTACTGCAAGAGTATACTAACCGTGCGGCCGTGGAAGTTGTCGTTGACAGAAAAGACCAGCGCCTTGCCCTGCTCGACGCCCTTCACCTTGTAAGCCCACTTGCGCGCAATCTTGATGGCGGTTTCGACGGCCTCAGCACCCGTGTTCATGGGCAGGACCATGTCATAGCCGAACACGTCGCGGATCTTCTCGGCCCACTTGGGGAAGACATCGTTGTAGAAGGCGCGCGAGCTGAGGGTCAGACGGCCGGCCTGCTCGGTCAGAGCCTTGACGAGCTCCGGGTGGCAATGGCCCTGGTTGACGGCGCTGTAGGCGGAGAGGAAGTCGAGGTACTGGCGGCCCTCGGGATCCCAGACGTGGACGCCGCTCGCGCGGGAGAAGACGACGGGCAGAGGGTGGTAGTTGTGGGCGGCATACTCGTTCTCGGTCTTGATCGCGCCGTCGGTGGAGGAGGCATGGTACCTGGAGACGGTGCCGTTGGACTGAGGGGCGCCGCCGTTTGCGTGGGGAGCCATGGTGTAAGTTGGTTGGTTGGGTGGTTCAGAGTTGTGTGGTTAATTTGGGTATCGTAGAGTACGAAGTGGCAGGGGAAAGACAAGTTGAGAGTATCAATTGGGTTTGGGGGCCATCAATTCGTGTTGTCAGAAAGAGAGTGTGTCTTTGGGACAGGTGGCTGTTGGAGTAAGGTTTTCGGTAGAGGAAAACAGTCAAAGAGAAGGGAAGACCGGGACGAGGGGCAAATCGCGGGGTCTTTGCTTAATATACCCTGACGGCACATGGGTCCCAGACTTTGGGGGCGTCCTTGACCAAAAGAACAAGGCCAGGCAGACAGAAGGAACATGACATGGGATAGGGTCAAGCAGAAAGCGACCATGGACCGTGACAAGCAAGCAGGCCAGGAAGAGGGAGGCGAGCGGGCAAGCGGGCGGCGGCGGCGGCGGCAACGGCCAGCACGCTCAACAAAGCGGCCGGAGGCGGGTATCAGGTCGTGAAAAAATGAGCAAATGGACCACCAAGAAGGAAAAACATGACATGGCATGTCGAAAGCTGAAGCGTAAGACGCGGGCCATGACCTGGAACCAAACTCTTGGTGTCGGAGTCAGAGGCGTGCCGCTATGCCTCTAAGTGCAGGTATGTTCCCCTAAGCGCAGGTATAAGCGGCTCAAGTGGGTGAGTGGGCAGGATGACGCCCGAAGGGGGCCAGGTTAAGGGAAAGCATCCCGGTGTATCCCATGTTCCCAATTGCGGTCACATGGGCCATATGGGGTGTGCGTGTGCGTGTGTGGTGCCAACGAAAATAAAATCCAAGTTCGAAAGCGGCCGAGGGAAAGCGGCGCCAGTGTTTCTGTTTGTAATGGTTTTCGTTGCTCGGTGTCGCCGCGAAGGTATGTACTGAGGCAGGTCGTTGGTGGTGGTGGTGTTGGAATGTTGGAGTGACGGAACAGATGAATCAAAACGTGGGAGACGACCAACAAGAACCGAAACCCCCTTCCTTCCTTCCAGCTGCTCCTTCTCTGCCTTACTGCCGACGGACGGGCTGCTGGTTGAGTGTGGTTGATTGGCGGGGCCGGGAATGAAGGAAGGAAAGAGGGGAAACCAGAGGAAAGAAGGCGGCGCCGATAACGGGACCCAGTCCGTGAAGCTGCGCCGGTGCATTTGGACCAACGAGAGGTCCCTATCTACGCTATCATATCATCTGTAATCTTTGACGTTGCTTTGCTTTTTGTGTACTGTCAGGGTTCGTTCGCCTGATGTAATTCAGAGCTGTGCCATTGGGTCAACGGCCAGATAAGAGGGAGACGGTAAAGTGACACGCCGTAGTGCCCGTGGGGATTGATTGAATGCTGTGACCGTCCCTTAGCTGCCGAGTCCGAAGACAGTGGTGGACTCGAAGACGCTCCACGGAAAGAGAGCGGTCTCGCCCAATGATGGCGCACCTATTTCAACTCCCGCCGTTCGGAGCCAATGGGAGGCGTCTCTACGATGGATGCCCCCTGGGGAGCCAATAGGAAAGCCTGCGGTGGCCAAAGAAAGGTGGATACTCATTGGACCTCATGCCTGATAATCGAGGTTTTGGGTTAGGTGGTGGCACCTGGTTCCCCGTTCCCTTCCTTCTCCAGGCCTCGACGACTCGGTTTTAGCGGCCAACAAGAATGCCTGGCGACCTGAGAACGTGAACGGCGCCCTGTCAGTGAAACTTGGGGGGGCCTGACCATCGTCCCATTCGCTGTTTTTGCGCCAGTAATCCGTCCTTCCCAACCTCGTCTCGACATTCCATTAGCGATCAAGCAGCCCGCTCACCCTCTTCATCCTCTGCCTAGGTCGGCATCAAGCCCAACAGCAAATCCTTCCTCTCCCAAGACCGAGACGAGAAGGGGAGAAAAAGGGGGAAAGTGATCAAGCCTGCAAGTCAGGATTCGTCACGACACCAAACCGTCCGCAACGCACGTACCGCACACCGTTTGCCTCGTCCTTCTACGCATACACGCCTCTTCACATCCTCAGACGTGTGTGCGTGTGTGCATCTGCTGTGTGTGTGTGCCTCCTGACTCGATTCCCATCCCACGCAGCACGCAGCACACAGCACACAGCGCCCCGTCCCCCCCTATTCCCATTTTTGCCGTCCGACCGATGATTACGCAATAGCGGCCTTCCGACCTCCAAACCACCCCGTCCGCCGCTGCCGCCGCCGGCCACCGCTCAGCAAACACCGCTCCAGCACCGTGCCAAGCGCGTATCCACAATGGCTTCCGTCGGCTCCTCGCCCCGCCCCGAACTCCTAATGGCAGTTCGTAACGAGCACAACAAGCCCTCCGTCTTCCGGCACCTCCTCGTCATCCGTCTGCTCAACGCCTGGTGGGTCATCACCTTCTTCCAGCCCGACGAGTACTTCCAAGCCCTCGAGCCCGCATGGCGCATGGCCTTTGGTGAGGGGAGCGGTGCATGGATTACATGGGTGAGTTTTTCATTTTTCCCCCTCGTTTCTCTGTTTCTCTCACGAAGCGTGGGTTGTTGAGTTGCAATTACAATTTGTAATTGTCATATTCAACTATCACCATTGTAATCAACCCCCATCTTTGCTTGTATATTTCTTTGCCGACGAGTGGGTACTGACGCTGCACTCAGGAATGGAAGTACCAGCTCCGCTCCTCCCTCCATCCCGCCCTCTTTGCCGGAGTCTACACCATCGCAGACCTCGTAGGTAGACCTCTCCCAGTCGCCGCGCGATCATGGCTGCTCCTCGCCGCCCCAAAGGCCACCCAGGCCGTCTTCGCTGCCGCCGTTGACTGGTACACCTGGCAGCTCGCCGTCAAGATCTACGGCGCTGACAGCTCCGTCTCATGGTTCGCTGTAAGTCTCACTCTCACTAACACTGCCTCACACCACAACACCCGAGAGACCTCATGCTCACACATCTCGCAGCTCTTCATGA